TCAGTATATAATAAATAAGAGTGGCTCTCACTCACAGGGCCACAATAATAATAATAATAATAATAACAATAATAATAATAATAATAATAAAGGGCTGCGAAGTCCCTGGCTTCCACACACTGCCTGGAGACAGTCACAATCTCCCACAGCAGTTCCTGGACCCTTTGGACAGCAAGCATGGGATTGCAGCTTCCAGACACCACAGGGAGCAAACAAAACTTTGCTAGGTCTTACTTTTGGAAGAGGCCTTATATTTAGCAAATCAGCAAAACCTCTACTAGGTCTTATTTTCAAGGGATGCCTTATTTTCGGGGAAATGGGGTATATACACCATGCTGTCTTTGTGTGTTTAATGGATTTGTTGTTAATTCGTTCAGTCACTGTCTTCTCTAAGCTTTGCTGTCTCCTCATGATGTGGCCAAAGGACTTCATCTTGGCCTCTCATCTCCTTCCCGCCAGTAAGCAGATGGCCTTTATTTCCTGGAGGATGGACTGGTTGGATCTTCTCACGGTCCAAGGCACTCTCAGAGTTTAATGGATCCGTTTCTTTATATTCCGCTTTCCTCTCTCAATGCAGCAAACACTAAAAACTATAGAGTTCACAATATAAAACCAATAGCACAGAATTAAATATAGAATTGCAAGAGTGTCCTACTCTGAGCCAAGGTTTTGGGGGACAGAGACCTAGAAATATCCCTGACTTTTCCGTTTCTATAGGGATTCAGTTTCCTGATCTGCCATAAAAGTGGAAGGACAGTTGCATATATGATAATGATGATGATATTTTGAAAGTGTTCGATGTCCCTCCGAGATCCCCAAATTAAGGACTGGAAAGGAGCACAGCCTTAGTAGGCTCCTTGGGGCAGTGGCGGACCCAGGACCTAAATGTTTGGGGAGAAAGATCTCAAGAGATTATTTTTCACGTCAGGAGCAACTTGAAAAACTGCAAGTTGCTTCTGGTGTGAGACAATTGGCTGTCTGCAAGGCCGTTGCCCAGGGGTTGTTGCCCTGATGTGTTACCATCCTGTGGGAGGCTTCTCTCATGTCCCCACATGGGAAGCTGGCGCAGACGTCAATCTTTCGGTCAGCAGTCCTGTTGGCACAAGGGTTTAAGCCAGTGTTTCTCAACCTGGAGGTCGGGACCCTTGTAGGGGGTCACGAGAGGGGTGACAAAGGGTCACCAAAGGGTCACCCCTCTGTTGGTCATGGGGGTTCTGTGTGGGAAGTTTGGCCCAATTCTATCGTTGGGAGTTCAGAATGTTCTTTGATTGTAGGTGAACTATAAATCCCAGTAACTACAACTCCCAAATGTCAAGATTATTTTCCCCATACTCCACCAGTGTTCACATTTGGGCATATTGAGAATTTGTGCCAAGTTTGGTCAGGATCCATCATTGTTTGAGCCCACAGTGCTCTCTGAAAGTAGGTGAACTATAACTTCCAAACCAACCTCAATGCCCACCAGGGTTTTTTGTTTGTCGTGGGAGTTCTGTGTGCCAAGTTTGGTTCAATTCCATCGTTGGTGGAGTTCAGAATGCTCTTTGATTGTAGGTGAACTATAAATCCCAGCAACTACAACTCCCAAATGACAAAATCAATCCCCCCTCCCAACCTCAACAGTATTCAAATTTGGGTGTATCAGAGATTTGTGCCAAATTTGGTCCAGTGAATGAAAATACATCCTGCGTATCAGATTTTTACGCTGCAATTCATAACAGTAGCAAAATTCCAGTTATGAAGTAGCAACAAAAATAAAGTTATGGTTGGGGGTCACCACAACATGAGGAACTGTATGAAGGGGACGTGGCATTAGGAAGGTTCAGACCTACTGGTTTAACCCATTGCAAGGCGGGGGGGGGGGGGGGGGGGGGGCTCCTATATATCATGACTAACCAAAAGTAGGGAAGGGAATAGGAGAGAAATGGAGGAGCACCACCCTCTGCTGTCCAGAGGAGGAAATGCAGCCAGAACAACCAGAACATATCCTCACCCAGTTTATGATCCCACAGCAAGATGGTTTCAGGAAAGGCAAAAGCTGCACGTCACAAGTGCTGAACCTGACTTGGCACATAGATGGTTTTGAAAGGCAGCAGATTACTGGTTCTGTCTTCATAGACCTGTCAGCAGCTTATGACATTGTCAATCATCGCCTCCACCTGAGAAAAGTGTACAATAACCCAAAGGATGACAACCTCACCTGCTTCATAGGAAACCTGCTACAAAACAGGAGCTTTTTTGTTGAGTTTCAGGGCCAGAGAAGCAGACGGCAGAAACAGAAGAACGGCCGGCCTCAGGGGAGCCCGCTTGCTCTATCCATGTTCAACATCTACACAAATGACCAGCCACTGCCAGAAGGGACAGAGAGATTCATCTATGCTGATGATCGTGTCATCACCACCCAAGCAGGGAACTTTGAGATGGTTGAACAGAAGTTCTCCAAAGCTTTAGGTGCTCTTACTGCCTAGCTGATTCCTAAACCATCTAAAATGCAGGTGTGTGCTTTTCATCTTAAGGACAAGTATCTCAAGCTCTGAGGATGGCCTGGGAAGGAATCCCACTGGAGCACTGCAGTGCACCCAAATACCTGGGAGTCTCCCTGGACTGTGTTCTGACCTACAAGAAGCACTGTTTGGATATCAAGCAAAAAGTGGGTGCTAGAAACAATATCATACGGAACCTGACTGGCACAACCTGGGGATCACAACCAGACACAGTGAAGGCATCTGCCCTTGCACTTGGGTACTCTACTGCTGAGTATGCATGCCCAGCATGGAATACATTGCACCACATTAAAACAGTGGATGTGGTTCTCAATGAGACATGTTGCATCACAGGATGTGTATGCTCCACACCACTGGAGAAATTATACTGTTTTTTAGCCAGTATCACACCATCTGATATCCACCAGGAAGTAGCAACCAGTAATGAAAGGACCAAGAAATTGACATCTCTGGCCCATCCTCTGTTCAAGTATCAGCCGGAACGCCAATGCCTTAAATCAGAAAGAGCTTCCTAAGTCCTTTGTCCCACTCTGGTCATTCCACAGATATATAAACCCATTTTCCTACTTCCAACAGACCTCACTACCTCTGAGGATGCTAGCGATAGATGCAGGCGAAACATCAGGAGAAAATGCCTCTAGTACATGGCCATATAGCCTGGAAAAACCTACAACAACCCAGCTTCCTAAGATCTACAGAGATACTTGCAGGAACATCTCAGCAAGCAGGAGCCCAAAAGTGGCAGGCTCAAACCCAGAACCTCAATTAATGGCTGATACCAAATGACAGACTCCTTCCTGGACACACAGAAGAGTGGGCGACGTGGAAGGTGCTGAACAGACTGCGCTCTGGTACCACGAGATGTAGAGCCAACCTTAAGAAATGGGGCCACAAAGTGGAGTCCATGACATGCGAGTGCAGAGAAGAGCAAACCATAGACCACTGACTACAATGCAGTGTGAGTCCTGCCACATGCACCATGGAGGACCTCCTTGCGGCAACACCAGAGGCACTCCCAAGTGGCCAGATTCTGCTCCAAGGACATTTAGTAGAATGCCAAGTTTTTAACTTTGTTTGTGGTTTTTCTATACATTATAACTGTATTCCCAATTTGCTTCTGACACGATACATAAATGTCCTCAACCTGGAAAAGACCCCCAATAGTATCTAGTCCAACTCCCTACTGCCATTTAGGAGCACACAATTCAAACCCTCCTGATAGATGGCCATCCAGCCTCTGCTTAACACAAAATCTCCAGAGGCTCCGCAGGATTCCAAGGCAGGAGCAGATCCCAGTTCTGACCTGGAGGAGGCTCTTCAAGGTGTTTAGATAGTATCCTATAGTTGCATTTTCCAGCCCACGTTTTGCTATTTGCTTCTTGGAGATGTGCTGCGTTCATAGCATTCCTTGCATCTGCCAAGCATCTAACTCTATCGAAAAAAGAGGCAAGGTTAGTCTGTCACGACTTGTTTTTGGGAAACTTCCTGTGAATACGCCATTCCTTCCCAGGTGCTGACACCGGGTCTCTTTCATGACATGCTTCAGAATATTTCCTGGCATTCATTTCAGGTCTACTGGGCAGTCATGGTTTAGGTCCTCTGGGAAGACTGGGGGACCATATTCTTCCCATCTGTTTTCCATGAGATGATTGCCACTGGTTCTGAAATACATCTGCCAGCTCTTGGAATACTTTGGAATGAAGTCCCTTCTGGCCCTGGAGACGGGATCCTTTTTGGAATAGCCAAATATTCCCGTGCTGCCTCATTACCTTTTCTGTGCTCCCTTTCCCCTTCTGCTCCATTATCTTGCTTTAATAGTGAAGAGAGGGGCCCAGGAAGACAGTTCCACCTTGCCTTTCCCTTCTTGCTCCATTATCTGGCCCTAATGGACAGGGATCCCTTTGGAATAGCCAAATATTCCCGTGCTGCCTCATTACCTTTTCTGTGCTCCCTTTCCCCTTCTGCTCCATTATCTTGCTTTAATAGTGAAGAGAGGGGCCCAGGAAGACAGTTGCATCTTGCCTTTCCCTTCCTGCTCCATTATCTGGCCCTAATGGACTGGGATCCCTTTGGAATAGCTAGGTATTCCTGTGCTGCCTCATCTCTTTTGTGACCCCTTTCCCCTTCTGTTCCATTTTCTGGCCTTAATAGTGAAGAGAGGGGCCCAGGAAGACAATTCCACCTTGCCTTTCCCTTCTTGCTCCATTATCTGGCCCTAATGGGCCAGGATCCCTTTGGAATAGCCAGATATTCCCATGCTGCCTCTTTATCTCCTTTGGGTTGCCTTCCCTCATCTTCTCCTGTATCTGGCCTTAATGAACTATGATCCCTTTGGGATGGCCAGATATTCCGGTGCTGCCTCCGTACCTCTTCTGTGCTGCCTTTCCCCTTCCGCTCCGTCCCCTGGCCTTAACAGATTTGGGGTCCCCTTTTCCCGTTCTGCACTGTTGTAATAAAAGGCTGTTCCGACAGCAAAAGCAGAGCCAAGGCCAGGAGAGGTGTGAGGAGGGGTCCTCTGGAAAGAGCAGCTTTTTAATAACTCAAAAATAATAATAATAACATAGCGGTTCATCCAGGACAAAGTGGGAAGGAGGAATATTAACAGTACTCAAACATTTTTTTTTTCTAGGAGGGGGGGACAAAGTGGCAAAAGGATCCAGGCATGCTGAGGCAAAAAGTGGGGGGGGGGGGCAGGAGGTGGTACATGGAGAGAGCAGCGTGCGAGGAAGGGGCTCTCTGACCCCCCAATAAACGGCCCCGCTCTTCGGTCTCTCTTCCTCCATCCTCCGGATGCCTCCCCCAGTGTTATGGGGAAGGAGGAGAACCAGAATCCTTACCCTTTAAGTACACGGAGACCCCGAAAGACAAAGAGGGAGAGCCAAACGCTTTGAGTGCTGGACTGGATGGCCCACGAGGTCACTTCCAACTCTGTGATTCTAGGAAAGGGACCCCTCCTCTTGAAAACCTCCCTCCCTCCCCTCCCCCTCCCCTCCCTCCCCTCCTTGCATAGATGAGGGTCAGGTCAAAGTGCAGCTAAAACAGTATTTCAATTGGGGGGGGGGATGGAGGAAAAACATCTAAGAGAACCCTTGGGGGTCACCACTTACTGAGGCTAAAAAATACAAAGTCGCTCTAGCTACGCTTTCCCTCCTGGAAAAAAGGGGTTTAAAACCACGGCGGTCTTCATATCGTAATAAAAATCCCATTATTATTGTTATCATTATTATCATTTCGAAGGGGGGGGGGGCTTGTGAGGAGACACGTGAAAGGACTGGGGAATTCCTCGTGCGAAGCCTTGCCCACAGAGGACCCCCTTCCTTCTCTGGGCAAAACCACTCGGAAACAAACACCGTCTCTTTGTTTTCAGTCCAGAAGGGAAAAGGGGGAAAGGAAGCCGATCCCTAGAGAAAAAAAGGGGGAGGGGTACGACTTCCCCTTGGCTCCGCCCCCAAAAAAGCATGGGAGGGAGGGGACCCCTCAAAGGGACCCCCCAACGCTGAGTACCTTGGCTTTAGACCTGATTCTGAGCAGCAGCGTCCACAGCGGGGGGCCCACCTAGCTCCCCCCCCTCATGCGAACCCAAGGCCTAACTGTGGGGTCAGGGACGGGTGGGGTCCGAGGGTCAGCGGATGGGAGGAAGAGGAGGAGGAAGGAGGGAACCAGGGAGGTAGAGAGAAAGTCTTCGGGGGTCTCATTTCAGGAGGGAGGGAGGGAAGGAGGGAGAGAAGGAGAGCGACACCCCCTCCTCTGCCGTTGTCCTCCTCCCTCCCTCGCCTCTCACTCGCTCTCTCCTTCGCTCTCTCTCTCTTGGCAGGAGTGTTGCGTGAGGCTGCAAATGRGTCGGGGGCCCGGTCAGGACATCTGGTGGGGGGCCTCCAGCATCTCCATGAGGAAGGTGTCGATGGGGGTGTCCCCGATCAGCTTGAAGAAGAAGAGGTGCTCCAGGCATTTCAGGCCGATGGACCGCAGGGCCGGCAGGCGCAGCAGCAGCTTGGCAAACCTGCAACAAAGGGGACGAGGAGCATCTATAGGGAGCTGGGCAAGGAGCACCTACAGCTGGAAGAGAAACCCAAAGGCCGCCCAGTCCAACTCAGTATCTTGAAGGTGCCTGGCCCTGACTGATTTCAGAAGTTAAGCAGGGTCAACCCTGGTTCACACATGGATGGGAGGGCAGCAAGCAATGCCTGGTGCTGTACGCAGTATTTTAGAGGAAGATAGATCTGAAGATTCCTTGCCTGCTCAGAAAACCCCTCCAGGTATTTTTGGACTCCAACTCCCACAATTCCTAACAGCCAGGAGTTGTGGGCGTCCAAAACACCTGAAGGGAGGGCTGAAGTTTGTCCATGCCAACCATAGACCAAATACTGACTTTGGAAGCTAAGCAGGATGAGGAAATGGAAGGGAGACCGTCAAGGCACCCAGGCGTCCCAATAATAATAATAATAATAATAATAATAATAATAATAATATATTTATACCCCGCCACCATCTCCCCAAGGGACTCGGAGCGGCTTACATGAGGCTGAGCCCAACAACACATCAATAAAACAAGAAAGCAATAAACAAAACAATACGATGAAATACAAATTAATATAAATCATATATAACAATATAAATCACATATAACAATGACTTAAATCAAGAAATAGTTTTCTAAGATCTACAGAGACACTCGCTGGAACACCTCAGCAAGCGAGAGTCCAAAAGTGGCAGGCTCAAACCCAGAACCTCAACCAATGGCTGATACCAAAGGAGAGACTCCCTCCTGGGCACACAGAAGACGGGGCTTGGAAGGCGCTAAACAGACTGCGCTCTGGCACCATGAGATGCAGAGCCAACCTCAAGAAACGGGCCACAAAGTGGACTGTGGAGAAGAGCAAACTATAGACCACCTGCTGCAATGCAACCTGAGCCCTGCCACCTGATGCACAAGGGAGGACCTCCTTGCGGCAACACCAGAGGCACTCCAAGGGGCAAAGGACATTTAATCAACTACCAAGCTTGCAAACTTTGTGCTTTGTCTGTTTGTTTGTTTGCTTTGTTCTGTTAGAAATGTAATACAATTGTCTGATTGCCCCTGACACAATAAATAAATAAATATAACAATAATACATGAGGATTTAAAAACCTATGGCCAGGCCAAATGTAATAGTTTAAAATTCAAAAAAATAAACGCTGGGCATGAACAAGGTAGGATGTATCTGGCAGGAGGGTTTTAAAGAAGTGAGGGGAGCGCAGTCCAACACAATCCAGTAGTTGAAGGGCATTCTGAGGATGCCTTGCTTGCGAAGGGAACCCAGTGAGGCGGAGAGGGCCTCTGCTCCTACCTGCCCTGCTGTTCAGGATACTTCTGTTTGCAGTAGGACTCCAGGGAGGCATAGACCTTCTCCCTCAGAAGCTCCACTTCTCCGGGGTTGGAGAGGCCCTTCGCGTCTGGAAGGGGAAGAAAAGGGGGGAGGGAGGATCAATGGAAGTCTTCACACACAAAGGCCTACACCACAAAAACAGGAAGAGTGTGATGCAGCAGGTGGAAAAGCCAGTGCAATTCTGGGCTGCATCAAGAGGAGTCTAGTGTTCGGACCGAGGGAAGCCCTAGTCCCTCTCCATTCTTCTGCCTTGGTCAGAACTTCCCACCAACAGCCCAGGGTCCTGTTTTGGGCAAAGCAAGTCAAGGAGGAGATGGGCAGGACAGAAGAAGGGCCATCAACAGCCACGAATCCCTATAAGGAATGGCTGAGGGAGCGATAGAGAATGAGAGGGGAAGGCTGAGAGAAGGGGTGTGGTGGCTATGTTTACATATTTGGAAGGATGTCCCATTGAGGGGGAGAAAGGGACAACTTGCTGTTCTGCTGCCCTGGAGACAGGGACACAATGGAGTCCTGGGTTCAAGCAGCAGGGGCATTAGGTCTCTTGAAATGATCTCTGCCTGTGGAGAGTCTGTGAGGGAGGGGCTCCCCCACCTGGGTTGAAGAGGATAATGGCGCGGAGGCAGCCCAGCTCCGTCTTGTCCATCCTCATGTCGCGCATCTTCGAAACCAGTTCGGTCAGCACCCTGCAGAGGACGGAAGGAGGGAAGGGAGGAAGGAGAGAGAAGGGGAGAAAGGCCTTTAGATGGGGAAAGGGTTCATGGGAAGGAGGGGGGCATGAGGGCAGGCAGGGCAGGGCAACTGAAGGTAGAATCACCCCATGTCCGCGGGGCCTGGACCCACAGTTCCACCTCCTTGCACCCGACAAAGTGTGTCCTCCCTAAGAATCTTCCCATCCTCCAGGTGATTCTATGGTATGCTTCTGCCAGAAGTTAACATAGTCTTGGTAGAAGAGTGAGTAAATGCCTAGAGAGGATTCCTAGGTCCTCCAGTGAGAGTCTTGTCAGAAATATTAAATATTAATAAGGTATTTTTAATTACAAAAACGTGAGTAAAGCACTGAAAGGGTTAAATGGATGAAACGACTCAGCAAAAGCTGTAGTTCAATATAAGCAGGTGTGGTTGTAGCTTAGTTGTTCTCAGTCTGTGGTAGGTCTCTGTGGGAGAAAAGCCTCAGTCTGTTAGTAGGCCTCAGGATGAGAAGGCCTCAGTGTTAGTTCACCTCAGTGGGAGAAAGGTCTCAGTTTTAGAGAGCCCTCAGTGGGAGAAAGGCCTCAGTATGAGAAGGCCTCGGTGTTAGTTCACCTCAGTGGGAGAAAGACCTCAGTCTGAGAAAGCCCTCAGTGGGAGAAAGGCCTCAGTGTTAGTAGGCCTCAGTATGAAAAGGCCTCGGTGTTAGTTCACCTCAGTGGGAGAAAGACCTCCATCTGAGAAAGCCCTCAGTGGGAGAAAGGCCTCAGTGTTAGTAGGCCTCAGTATGAAAAGGCCTCGGTGTTAGTTCACCTTAGTGGGAGAAAGGCCTCAGTCTGAGAAAGCCCTCAGTGGGAGAAAGGCCTCAGTGTTAGTAGGCCTCAGTATGAAAAGGCCTCGGTGTTAGTTCACCTCAGTGGGAGAAAGGCCTCAGTCTGAGAAAGCCCTCAGTGGGAGAAAGGCCTCAGTGTTAGTAGGCCTCAGTATGAAAAGGCCTCGGTGTTAGTTCACCTCAGTGGGAGAAAGGCCTCAGTCTGAGAAAGCCCTCAGTGGGAGAAAGGCCTCAGTGTTAGTAGGCCTCAGTATGAGAAGGCCTCGGTGTTAGTTCACCTCAGTGGGAGAAAGACCTCCGTCTGAGAAAGCCCTCAGTGGGAGAAAGGCCTCAGTGTTAGTAGGCCTCAGTATGAAAAGGCCTCGGTGTTAGTTCACCTCAGTGGGAGAAAGACCTCCGTCTGAGAAAGCCCTCAGTGGGAGAAAGGCCTCAGTGTTAGTAGGCCTCAGTATGAAAAGGCCTCGGTGTTAGTTCACCTCAGTGGGAGAAAGGCCTCAGTCTGAGAGAGCACTCAGTGGGAGAAAGGCCTCAGTATGAGAAGGCCTAGTGTGAGAAGCTTCAGTGAGAGAAGCCCCAGGTTGAAGGCCATTGAGTGTGAAGGCTGCTGTGTGTAAAAAGCTACTGTGTGAAGCTCCTGTGTATCTTCGGTGTGAGAAGAGGCTCTGTGAGAGCAAAGCTGTTTATTAGCTGTCCCTGATTATTTGAGAACACAGAAATGCTGGACCACTCTCACAACCACCATGTCAGACTACACAGAGAAGCCACTGAAATCCACAAGCATGTGGACAATTTCAACAGAAAGGAGGAAACCATGGAAATGAACAAAATCTGGCTTCTAGTATTAAAATTAAAGATAGGGGAGCTCCAGACAAGAAACAATCAGGGACAGCTAATCACTCTCAACAAAGGATGCCCCCAAGCATTACAAAGCCACACCTAAAAACTGTCCAGCCATTAAACGCTATCAAGTGGCCAATTGAAACATTCACACCTGCCTCAAACAGACAAGAGTTCTTTCTCCCACCCTGGACACTATTCCACAGATATATAAACCCAATTTTCCTAGTTTCCAATAGACCTCATAACCTATGAGGATGCCTGCCATAGATGTGGGCAAAACATGAGGAGAGAATGCTTCTGGAACATGGCCAGACAGCCCGGAAAACTTACAGCAACCCATGTATCCTCGGTGTTTTCCAGGTAATACATTTTTTCTAAGGGTAGTTATTAGAAATTTTTAAAACCATTTATAAACTGAAGGATGCTTCTAAGGTCCAGACCCTGGATTATTATTATTTTTTTACAATTGATTAAATGGCATCAAGTTCCGCCTTTCCTTGGAGGCCACACTCTCTCAGCCTCAGAGCAGGGCCAACGCACTCCTGTTTAGAAAGAGAAAGCCTTTGCTGAATGGCTCTTCCTTGTTTGGGGAGGAGAACCCTGCCGCGGCCTTCAGGGCTGGGATTCTTTATGCCACCTGTTGCTTCTGTCAAGGGCGTCTTGGCCCTTGACGGTTTTCTTAGGCCTCACCCTCCAAGGCCTCAGGTGTCCTTGGAAGCTAAGCAGCTTTGCCCCCAGTAAGTCATCCTGTCTATCTATATCCCACCCTCTAAGGCAGCGGTTCTCAAAGCGTGCTCCAAGGAGCCCTTGGGGCTCTGCAAAGCATACGGAGGGGCTCCACAGTCGCTGTTCCTCCTCCAAGCTTTCCCTCCTCTTTCCTGCTCTTCCCCTTCCTCCCTTACCACCAAAACCTTTTCCTCTTGCCTTCCTGGCTTTCAAAACCCTACTTCTCTCCCACTACTCATGGGGTACTTTGTGCTTTTCCTGCATGGCAGTGGGGAGTTGAACTGGAGGACCCCAAGGGTTAAATAATAATAATAATAATAATAATAATAATAATAATAATAATATTCTTTATTTATACTCCACCACAATCTCCCTGAAGGGGACTCCGGGCGGCTAACGTGATGCCAAGCCCAAAAATATAATACAGTAAAATAAAGTGCAAAGTACAACAAAATTTACATCACAATAAAGTACATACAATGGCAAAATAAAATAAACAAAGGAAAATAGCATAACAGAAAACCGAACATAATGGGCAGGCCAAATGGACAAGATAAAATGATAAAACCCTGGGTGAGGGAGGAGTTGAGAGGAGCCCAAAAAAGAATAAACAGTATGGTTAGGCCTTAAATTTAGGATGGGGGAAAGTGCATCATAAGGACAACACTGTAGATAGAATGGACAGAAATGGGATGAATGGTCACTCTCCAAAGGCACAACGAAAGAGCCATGTTTTTAGGTTTCTGCTGCTATTATGATTATGATTATGATTGCAAAGGCTGGGTGGCCATCTGTTAGGGATGACCACCCATGTGGTCCCCTATCCCTGTGTATTCACTATTCTTGTTGCTAGTTAATTGTGAAAGGGGCAAGGGACAAAATGAGCTGGAGATCTTGGGAAATGATAGAACGGGGGGGGGGAGATAAAGGGAACGGAAGATCATGGCAAGCTGAGGTCTGAACAACCCAAATAGCCAACAATGAGATACATGTTGAGGTTTTGGATATGGAATGCGGCATGGAGGAGGGGGGGTGTTCCACCAGCCGAGGGGCCCCCATTGAAGTGGTGGTAGGGAAGGGGAGATGTGGGAAAAGGAGACCATTAATTCAGCCTAGGGATTGTGTAACAACATTAGTAATTCCAAACCGGTCTCCTGATATGGTAAATTGGTGTAACCAGGATGGCGGTCCCTCTGGATTGAAGGTAGTGCTGTTGAACGCCAGATTTGTCAATGGAAAAACAACTTTCATCCAGGATTTAATCCTGGATGAACGGGCAGATCTGGCGTGCATTACGGAGACCTGGTTGGACGAAGCTGGAGGTGTGAATTTGACCCAGCTTTGCCCACCAGGTTTCTCCGTGCAGCACCAGCTGAGATCCGGAGGGCGGGGAGGCAGTGGTCTATAGAGATTTCATCCCTCTGACCAGGGGTCCCATCCCGCAGTCAACAAATTTTGAATGCGTCCACTTGAGGTTGGGTGACCGGGACAGAATAGGGATTCTGTTAGTGTACCGTGCAAAAACACTTGAAAACAATACAATAATTAAAATGAAGAACAATTTTAACAAATATAAACTTATTAGTATTTCAGTGGGAAGTGTGGGCCTGCTTTTGGCTGATGAGATAGGATTGTTGTTGTTGTGTGCTTTCAAGTAGTTTCAAACTTAGGTTGACCCTGAGTGAGGGCCGAGAAATGACCTTGGAGGGCCGTATTTGGCCCGTGGGCCATAGTTTGAGAACCCCTGCTATAATATAATAACATTTCTTGGGGCTCCACGAGAATCTTTTGCTTCAAAAATGGCTCTGCGGCAGAAAAGTTTTGAGAACCCCTGCTCTAAGGCGCTTCCTGATGATGTCACTGAGGTGGTCCTCGAAGGTGGCCTGCCTGAGAACGTATGCCTGGCAATGCTTTGCTGCCCCCTTGTGGCGGGCCCTCAGCAGCGCAGCGCAAGGCTCATTGGCCGGCAATGGATGTTGTCTTAAAAACATTCCTGTATTCCAAACCCTGCCAGTATTTAATGCTCAGGTTGTGGGGTGACTGGCAGTGCCACCTTCCCGCCCCCATTCACCTGTCAAAGATGGCTCCCACGCCAGCGCTGTGGGCACTGTTGCGGTGGACGTGGAGGCCCGTGGCGAGCAGAATCCCGTCTTTCACCGAAATGGAGCGGTGCGAGAAAGAGGCGATCAGCAGCTCATTCCAGCCTACCAGGAGGGAAAGGGGGGAGAGTCATTGGGAGTCCGATCTGACTTGCCTGGGCCCCTATTAACCAAGCCTAACAGGGCAAAGTTTTCGTTTCCTCCTGTGCCAGGCTGACAGGTCGGCATGATCAGCAACCCTCCTGCCCACCATTCCCGCAAATGCCCCTCTCACCTGCCCGGAGCAGGATGACCTGGTCATCGAGGGGCAGCTCGGAGAAGTGGGGGATGCGCTTGGCCCACTCCACCAGCGTGAAGAGCTGCTTGTCGGCCGCCTGGCAGATGTTGGTCACGGGGTCGTTGGGCTGCGAGGGGGAGCCGCCACCGCCGCAGAGAGAAGGGGAGCCAAGGAGGAGGAGGAGAGACGGGGCAGGTGGGTTGGGGGCCTTCGTGGGGAGGGGAAATCACAAGACACACGCCTCTGCCCCACTCAATGCTCACTCCAGGCCTCTCAGCCCCCTCCCCGTCACACCCCAAGGGTCATGGAACTGGCCGGTTCACCAAATGCCTTTGGGGACCCCCGAACGTGACCCCTCGACCCCAGCCTCAAAGGCAGAGATGCCATGCAGACAATTCCCCCCTCCCCCCCCCCGGCCTGGACTCCCCCTAAGAATCTGGGCGAGCCCCTTTCAGTATTTACCTCCTCGTTGACGTCAAACATCCGGGGCGAGCGTCCTGATCCCGCCGCCGCACCCCTCCAACTCACCGAGCTGCCCCCCGTGCCGGATCCGCCCCCGTCGACGCTTTGGTCTGACTTCTGCTCCACGGCCAGCTCGGCCTCCAGGATCTTCTCCACCGGCATGTCCTCGTTGGCGCCCCCGCAGGCCAGGTCCCCGTCCCCGTCCTTGTCCTTCCCGCGCTGGCGCTCCTCCTGGACGGCTGGGGCCCGGCGGGGCGGAGGGGAGATAAGCGGGGGTCAGAGGCAGCCCGGAGCGGCCCCCGACCCCTTCCCTCCACCGCAACGCACCCAAGATCCAAGCAGAAACTTCCTTTGGAAGTGGAGAAGCACCCACACTTGTGCAGAGTGCAAACAGGGACAGAGGGAATCCTGTGCTGCCTTCCTTCCACCTCCATTTCCTACATCTATGTAACTTCCTGCCTGTGTGAAGAGGACACTTCCCCCTTCTTCCCAGATGACTCTTGAGTGCTTTATGACCCTCTCGTTTGAGAAGGGAGCAGCATGAGGCCTCTCTCTGCCCCAAAATGCTGGCACAGACATGAGCATCAGCACTTGGGACTCCTCTACTAAAAGTTGGGTAACTTTCCTTATCTATCTATCCTTTTATACGAGATGTGTTATTTATTTACTATTTATTTATTTACTTTATTTATATACTGCCCCCTCAGCCCGCAGGTGACTCAGGGCAGTTATTACCTGCAACAATAAATCTTTTTATCTTTTTAAGCCTTACCAGAGCATCTTGTGTCTCCTGTTTCCTACCATAAGCTCATACACAATAGCACTGGCTACGCTGCACTCCACTCTGATATACGAGGGGTATTTTTTAAGTAAGGTCTGTTTTGTTGTAGACACTAGTAGTTTGCGCGCATACCGCAATGAGCGCGTGCGCCGTGTACCGGCATGCCTCGGGAACAACTGTGCTCAGTTTCCGCTCTGTAGCTAACCTGTACGGTTCTGTTCTGTGCTTTAAAAATGTTTAAGACTATCAACTCACCCTCCGCATGTGAGGTTCGCTCAGTGATACGGTTTTTGTCAGCAAGGAACCTGCCTGCTGCAGAAATTCATTGACAGATTTGTGAAGTGTACGGTGATACTGTTATGAGTGAAAGCAAAGTGCGTAAGTGGGTACGACAATTCAAAGATGGCCGTGACAACGTCCATGATGAGGACCGCTCTGGTCGCCCTTCTTTGATTACAGTGAACACTTGGTTATCGGAGCAGGCGGCAAGTTTTTATGAAGAGGGTATTTTAAAATTGGTTCAGAGGTATGATAAGTGTTTGAACAAACTTGGCAACTATGTCGAAAAATAGAGTGAAGTATGTACTTTCTGAAAATAAATTTACTTTTTTTAAATAAACTTTCGTTGTGTACTTATGTTCAAACGGACCTTACTTAAAAAATACCCCTCGTTAGATGCCAAACATCCCAATGGTTATGGGCCCAGAGGCTGGGTGAGTGCTTTATGACCCTTTGTTTGGAAAGGGAGCACCACGAGGCTCTCTGCCTCAAAAGGCCTTACACAGAGACATGAGAGTCAGCATGAGGGACTCTCCTTCCAAATTCAGACAACTTTCTTTTGTCTATCTAGTCTTTTATCTGAGATGTACTCTCTCCAACAGTAAACCTAAGTATTTACCTTTCTTTTTGAACCATACACTCATATATTTCACTGACTACACTGCACTCGACTCTCTTATAGGAACCAAACATTTCTAGGTTATGGGCCCAGCGTGCTTCCGCTGCACTCTGCTACAGATGCCAAACATGCCTACAACTTTGTCAGGTCTCTCCCCCTTTGCCCCTCTCTTTCTCCTCTGGGGGGACCGAGAGGGGGGAAAGGCGGGAGAGAGGATATGGGGACTGACCACTACCAGGCCGCACGGGCAGCAGGCACTGCTCTCCTCTTGCCCGGCAGACAGGGGGAGGGCCAGGCCTCTTGCCCGATGCCGCCTGGCCTGGTGGTGGCAAGGGAACTCCCGCCGACGCTTCCCTCGGACCCAGGGAAGCCCCGGTGGGAGCCCTAGCCGTGGGGGGAGGACGAACACAGAGATCAACCGCTGCCACTGCTCACGGAGAACGCCCTGACCGCTGACGCTGCCCTCCCTCTCTCCCCGACCCCAATGGAAGTGACTCTGGGGACCGGCACCTCTTAGCATCCTCCCAACAACTGGCCGGAGCCTCCGCCAAAGACAGGAGAAGCCCTGGGTCCTGCCGAGACATGTCACGAGGCCATGAAGGCCGGTCTGGGTTCCCAAGGGCACCCCGAGGGACTCCTGAGACTGCTCCAGATGCCCGGCCTCCCCCTTGGCCGCCTCTGTGACGGAGACGGTCTCCCCGCCCCCTTGCTGCCCCTGCCCCGCCCCGGGGTCTGCCCCCCGCTACCTTCCCGCTTCATGCCGGTGGCCAGGCATTTCTGGTAGCGGCAGTACTGGCAGCGGTTGCGCTGGCGCTTGTCCACGATGCAATCCTTGTTGTCGCGGCAGGTGTAGGTCAGGTCCTTCCGGATGGTGCGCTTGAAGAAGCCCTTGCAGCCCTCGCAGCTGTACACCCCGTAGTGCTTCCCTGGGGGCACCGGAGGAAGGCGAGGACTGAGTCGCGGACAGCACTGCCCCCCTCCCTCTCCCACCCTCCTTCCCTCCCACCCAGAGGCTGCGGGCTCCCCCAGAACACATCCCCCCCAGCACACACATAGACCGGACCCTCCTCCCAAATTAGACTTCAATCCCAAACCCAAAGAACTGTTGGATTCAAAGATGCATCAACATTTGTATACATGGAGCAAACAGAGCATATCCCCAGCAGCCTTGCCCAGGGGTCAAAGAAGCCACTGCCCACCTGCTTTCTCCCTTCTCCAGCTCTGAGAAGGCCTCCCTCACATGCTTTGACAACTCTTTTTGTGATTCTCTCTTTCCTTCCTCTGTTTCCCTCTCTTTTCTTCCTTACTTTCCTCCTTCTCTTGCTTTCCCTCACCCACCTTCTCCCTTTTCCTTCCTCTTCCCTCCTTCCCTTTCCCCCCCACCTTGGTCTTCCCTTCTTTCTCTTTCTTTTCTCCCCTCCCCTCATAACTTTCCCCCTTCAGTGCTCTAGCTTCCTTCCTTCTCCCTCATCTGTAGTTTAATGGAGTCGCAGTGGCGCAATGGGTTAAACCCTTGTGCCGGCTGAACTGCTGATCTGAAGATCAATGGTTAGACTTTGCAAGACGGGGAAAGCTCCCAACTGTCAGCCCTAGCTTCCCATGACAGGGACATAAGAGAAGCCTCCCACAGGATGGTAACACATCCAGGCATCCCCTAGGCAATTATTTCTGCAGGTGGCCAATTCTCTCACACCAGAAGTGACTTGTAGTTCCTCAAGTTGCTTCTGATACAGTGAAAAAAAATCTGTAGTTTCAGACATCCACACAAAGACCTGGAACACACACCCTGCAGATCAAGGGATTGTACTGTATATGGCTATATCCTCTTCCTCCGATCTCTCTCTCTTCCGCCTGTTTCCCAGTCCTATCCCATAATGCCCTTCATAGAGGTGAAAAGTCACACCTCTACCCCTCCCCATTCCCCACTCCCTGCCCACTTTGAGTCTCAATCTGCATATACTAATGCTATTAGTTAGAAATAGTCATTGTTAGCGGCACGATCTTCTAGAACAGTGGTTCTCAACTTGGGGGTCGGGACCCCTGCGGGGGTTGCTAGGGAGTGTCAGAGGGGTCGCCAAAGACCATCAAGAAACACAGTATTTTCTGTTGGTCATGGGGGTTCTATGTGGGAAGTCTGGTCCAATGTGATTGTTGGTGGGGTCCAGAATGCTCTTTGATTGTAGGTGAACTATAAATCCCAACAACTACAACTCCCAAATGTCAAGGTCTATTTCCTACCCTAGAGATCACATTTGGGCATATTGAGTATTCGTGCCAAGTTTGGTCCAGATCCATCATTGTTTGAGTCCACGGTGCTCCCTGGATGTAGGTGAACTACAACTCCAAAACTCAAGATCAATGCCCACCAAACCCTTCTAGTATTTTCTGTTGACCGTGGGAGTTGTGTGTGGGAATCTTGGCCCAATTCTGTCACTGGTGGGGTTCAGAATGCTCTTAGATCGTAGGTGAACTATAAATCCCAGCAACTACAACTCCCAAATGTCAAGGTCTATTTTCCCCAAACTCCACCAGTGTTCACATTTGGGCATACTGAGTATTTGTGCCAAGTTTGGTCCAGTGAATGAAAATACATCCTACTTATCAAATAATTGCATTACGATTCATAACAGGAGCAAAATCTAAGTTATGAAGTAGCAAAATAATGTGATGTTTGGGGGTCACCACAACATGAGGAGCTGTATTAAGGGGTCGCGGCACTAGGAAGGCTGGGAAACACTGTTCTAGAAGGTGCTATTATGCATTTCCTAATGGGAGTATTCCTCAAGTGGAAAAGATGAACAAGGAGTATTTCTAACGAAGAGCATGACCAAAGGCCGAGGACATGCCCTAGTCAAGCAGGTAGAAGGAGCCTCAGCAGAATGGGCCCCAGAGCGGCCGAGGGGTGGGTGGGGGTCGGCACACCTGAGGACCGGTCTCCGCAGATGGCGCAGAGGCGCTTGCCAGGCATCAGTGCCCCATGGGGGTGGCCCGGCACCACCCTCATGCCCAGCGGGGGCTTCACGTCGTCCGAGCTGCTGACCGAGTGCAGGCCCGAGAGGTTCACCGTGGAGTTGATCTGCAAAGGCAGCAAGAGGAGAAGCAGATGGAAGACAGGGCCCGGCAGGGGGGGTGGGGTCCTGATGGGAAGGCACAGGGCTACGCTTGGGCAGAAAAGAATGACATGCACAGAGCCACCTCTTGTCCATCCCCTTTGGGATTTATCTCTAGACCAGACCCGCAAAACATCCAGCCGGCAGGCCCTTTGCAGCCACCCAAGGATTTGGGGCAGCACGGAAAGGAAGATGGAAGGCACGGGTCCCCAAACTAAGGCCCACTGACGCCAATCTAAACATTAGACTGCTGCCGCTCTGCCACTACTGCCACCCTCTTCCTCCTTCTTAACTCTCCTTTCCTTTCCTCTTTCTATCTCACTCCACTCCACACTTGCTCCCTCCAAAAACAAAGGAAGGGAGGAGAGAGAGAGAGAGAAAAGAAAAGGAGCTTCCATCTGAACATGAGGAAGAACTTCCTGACTGTGAGAGCCGTTCAGCAGTGGAACTCTCTGCCCCAGAGTGTGGTGGAGGCTCCTTCTTTGGAAGCTTTTAAACAGAGGCTTTGAATGCAATATTCCTGCTTCTTGGCAGAATGGGGTTGGACTGGATGGCCCAGGAGGTCTCTTCCCACTCTTTGATTCTATGATTCTAGGTAGGAAAAAGAACAAAGGGGAGGAGAAAAGGAAGAAAGGCAGGCAGGTAGGAAACAGAGAGGGAAGGAAGAGGGAGAAAGATAGCTAAGAAACAGAGAGGGAAGGAAGAAAGGGAGAAAGAAAGAGAAGGAAGAGAAGAAAGGGAGGCAGGTGGGAAATAGAGGGAAGGAAGAGGGAGAAAGGTAGGTGAGAAACAAAGAGGGAAGGAAGAAAGGGGAGCAGGAAAAGGATAGAGAAGGAAGAGAAGGAAGGGGCAGGTGAGAAACAGAGGGAAGGAAAAGGTAGGTGAGAAACAGAGAGGGAAGAAAGAAAGAGAGAAGGAGAAGCAGTAAAAGGATAGGGAGGGAAGAGAAGGGAGGGAGGCAGGTGGGAAACAGGGGGAAGGAAAAGAAGAAAGGGAGAAAGAAAGATAGGTGGGAAACAAAGAGGGAAGGAAGAAAGCGGAGCAGGAAAATGAGAGGGAAGGAAGAGAAGGAAGGGAGGTAGGTGGGAGACAGAGGGAAGGAAAAGAAGAAAGTGAGAAAGAAATGTAGGTGAGAAACAGAGGGAAAGAATTGAGACAGCGTGACATAGTGGTTTCAACCTGGGAGTGTGGCTCTGAACTGGGATCCCTTTGGGATCTCTTCCCATTTCAGTTGAATGTAAATTGCCTGAGAATCTGGAGGGGTCTCCTCCTCCTCTGGCGATTGTGAAGCAGAGGCCAGATGGCCATCTGTCAGGAAGGCTTGGGTGGTGTCATTCTACCTGGTGGAACACGGTTGGCCCCTGAGGTCCTTTTGAACCCTATGATACACACACATGTCGGAGAGGGCCTCACCTGGGGGCTGCTGACGGGTCCGTAGCCAATGGAGGGGGTGGCAGGGAGGCCCGGCGACCCCATGGAAGAGCTGATGACCGGGAAGGGGGAGCCCAGCCCGCCGATGGAGGTGGTCATGGCCGAGCCAATCATGGAGGGGTGCAGCGGGGCTGAGGGCTCCGGCGGGGGGGTGCCCCTCAGGGTCGGGGAGGAGCTGAGCGAAGAGCTGTCCGGGCTCCGGCAGTCTGCATCAGGAGGAAGGTAGAGACGGAGAAAGAGTTAAGGCCACTGGCATCATGGGCACTACATTGGAAGCCCCTTCCACCCCCCCTCCAAGTCTCTAATTTGGACAATCCCAAGAACCCCCCCCCCCCCCACTCCCACCCGTCTTGACACTCTTGGCTTCCTCTCCGGATGTTGTGCAAAAGCACCAGGAAACACATGACCCTCGGGCTGTTTCCTGCAGCCAAGGCTAACAGAATGAACTTCAACAGGGAGGAATGGGCAGCATCACACCCTGGCCATAAAAACAAAAAGGCAGAAATATACTGTAAGGCCGGCAAGGGCAAACTTCAGGTTGTTCTGGACTTCAACTCCCACAACACAGAGAAGGTTGAAGCTTGTCCTTGCCTGCTGCACAGGATGGATGGATGGGACACCTGGCTTGGAAACACTCCTGCTTCGGTCACCTGAAATGACCCTTTTTCTGGTTCTGGGTCAAGCAATGCAAGGAGGAGGTGGACATGACGGGAAAACAGCTCAACCATCATCATACACGTCCGCAACCAGAAGATGCAAAGAGTAAAAAACTACACCTGTGCAGTAATTCATTAGGGATACTATATATTTCAAGCTTGGTGAGAACAGAGAACCCCAATGTTTCCATTAACTCCAAAAGTGTATGCACCCCTAATGGTGTATACTTTTGACAATATTCCCACACCAAAATGTATACACCAGCAACTCCTTATAATTCTCTACTTCTAATCCCACTCCCCACTGCAAACACAGACACTCATAAGAGCATTAAAGATTCCTTTCATAGAAAAGAGTCACGAAATTACAAGTGAACCTTGAGGTGCCAGGATCCGACCGTGTGAGCAGTGCCTGGGTGCAGAGGGCAACCATTTATTTATTTGGGTTGTTGTAGGTTTTTTCGGGCTATATGGCCATGGTCTAGAGGCATTCTCTCCTGACGTTTCACCTGCATCTATGGCAAGCATCCTCAGAGGTAGTAAGGTCAAACCTCAGACCTCACTACCTCTGAGGATGCTTGCCATAGATGCAGGCGAAATGTCAGGAGAGAATGCCTCTAGACCATGGCCATATAGCCCGAAAAAACCTACAACAACCCAGTGATTCCGCCCATGAAAGCCTTCGACAATTTATTTATTTATTATTTCCTATATTTATACTTCGCCCTTCTCATCCCTGAGGGGGGACTCATAATAAAACAATCAAGACAAGCTTTTTCTACTCCTCAATGGGACCACCTTTCCAATATGGAAAATGACTCTCCTCTTCCCTTCTCTCACTCTTCTCTTCTCTGAGCTAAACCTTCCCAGTCCTTTTGGTGGCCCTTTGCTAGACCCCTTCCGTCCTGTCAATATCCATATCTTGAATAGTTTGACCCAGAACCAGGCAAAGGGCTATTATTCCAGAAGGTGTGATTGGAGTGGGACTAGGGCTTCCCTCTATCTGGACACTTGACTCCTTTGGATAAAGCCTGGAATCACATTTTAGTTGCTCTAAACACCTTCGCGGAAGCATAAGAGAAGCTCAGCCATCATTGAATATCGAGAAAACCAAAGTGCTCTTCCAGCAGTCACCAGCCAATCCCTCTCCAATGCCAGAGATATAGCTTCATGGTGTAACATTAGAAAATGTGGACCATTTCTGCTCCCTTGGCAGTCACCTCTCCACAAAAGTCAACATTGACACCGAAATACAACACCACCTTGAGCTCTGTGAGTGCAGCTTTTTTCTGAATGAAGCAGAGAGTGTTTGAGTATTGAGACATCCGTAGGGAGACCAAGGTGCATGTTTATTGTCCTCCCAACCCTGCTATACGCCTGCGAAACGTGGACTGTCTACAGATGTCACATGCAACTCCTGGAACAATTCCATCAGCATTGCCTCTGAAAAATCCTGCAAATCTCTTGGGAAAATAGGCAGACAGATGTCAGCATGCTGGAAGAAGCAAAGATCACCAGCATTGAAGTGATGCTCCTCCACCATCAACTCTGCTGGACCAGGCATGTTGTCCAAATGCCCAATCGCCATCTCCCAAAGCAATTACTATACTCCAAATTCAAGAATGGGAAATGTAACATTGGTGGACAGGAAAAGAGATTTAAAGATGGGCTACCTTGAAAACTTGGGTGCTCCAGCTGGAGGTCAGCTGTGACCAGAAGTGCTGTAGAATTTGAAGAGGCACGAATGGAGGGCAAAAGAGAGAAATGTGCCAAGAGGAAGGTGTGTCAAGCCAACCCCGATCGGGACCGCCTTCCATCTGGAAACTGATGTCCTCACTGCAGGAAAACTGTCTACAGACGGGTCCACAGTCACCTATGGGCCCACTGCCAGGACACCGCACTTGGAGGACAATTTTACTCGCTCAACGAGGGATCGCCTAAGTAAGTAAGTAAGCTGCTGCAGCAGCGAGAGAGAAGGGTAGACCCCACCCTCAACGGAAGAGGGAAGCCACCAACCCCAATGGAGAGGCCCTGCTTCCTTCCTTCCTGGGAATTCACCGGCCTGGCCTTGCCGAACCCTGAATGAGCTCAATTGACCCCTCGTGCGCTTCCTTCACATTGCAGGGAGCTCGCATGGTGTTTAGGACCTACAATGTGGCACAGCTAACAAGCACTTGACAGGAGACATGTGTCCAGACTTTGTGCATGATGCACAGCAGCGAAGTCTGTTGAGAGGCAGGACTTCCGGCCCAAGAAGACCACGGAGTTATGCTTGAGGACCTTAAAAATGCCGACAGAGAACATACATAAGTTAAACCACGGACAATATTAAACCCTGTTGAAATAAATGCAACCTTAGATAATAACAAACCCTATTGAAATGTGTTTTGGGTTGGCAGGTTCTGGGAGTTGCTGTCCCAAAGGGATGAAACTTCCTTATTTGGGGAGGGGACACAATTCAGACAGGGAAGGGTTGGTTTAACACAGGCATGGACATACTTGGGCCCTCCAAGTGTTCTGGAGTTCAACTTCCACAATTCCAGAAGCAGAATGGAATGGGACTAGGCTACTAGGAATTGTGGGGGTTGAAATCCAGAACAGCTGGAGGGCCCAAGTTTGCCCATGCCTGATGATCCAGACTGCACTTTGCTCCAGAGGCCATCTAGTCTGACCCCCGGCCCACAAGGCCAGAAACCCACCATCAAAACACCAACCAGAGACTGACCTCTATTTAAGGATCCCTAAGGAAGGAGAGTCCACTGCCTTCTGCTGGTCAACATGTCCTCCTGATCTTGGGTCGGGGCCTGCTCCTCCCTGACCATTGTGATCCCGTCTGTGGAAGAAAACAAGCTTCCACACGTGACAAGGAGGAGGAGGAGTCCCTTCCTTCCTCCCTCCTTCCCTCCCTTCTTTTCTGGGGAAGACTGACTGACGAATGGGTCTTGAGCAATGTTCTCTTCCTCCCTCCGTTGCCCAAGGCGCCCCTCTTGAGCACCAGCTGAGAGGACAGGGCCAAGGGATCCTAGAGCAGGAGGAGACCCCAGGGGACATCCAGTCACACCCATTTTCAGCCATAAAGGGAGGCACCATCCAAGCCCTCCTGGCAGAGGGCCACCTGGCCTCTGCTCAAAAGACCCCACTGGACTCCCAGGCAGAATAGTCTGCTGACCATCAGGAAGTACTTCCTCATGTTCAGGCGGAATCACTTTTCTTGCCGTTTGAATCCATGGCTCCGTTGTGTCCCGGTCTCCAGAGCAGCAGGAAACAAGTTTCCCCACTCCTCCACAACGTGACATCCGTTCCAGCATTTAAAAGCCAAAAGCCACATTCCTGGTATGGAGGCTGAAAAGCCCTGCTTACTACGTGACAAACAGGAAGACTTGGGGGCATCAACAGGCACAACGGAGAAAAAGATAAAACCCAAAGGGACACAAACAACAGAGGAGCAGAAGCAACTTGAGAAACAGCAAGTCGCTTCTGGTGTGAGAGAATTGGCCATCTGCAAAGACATTGTCCAGGGGCGCCCAGATGTTTTGATGTTTTACCATCCGTGTGGGAGGCTTCTCTCATGTCCCCGCATGAGGAACTGGAGCTGACAGATGGGAGCTCATCTGTGCTCTCCTCGGATTCGAACCTGCGACCTGTTGGTCTTCAGCCCTGCCAGCACAGGGGTTTAACCCACTGCGCCACTGGGGGCTCAGGAGCAGCTGCCCCCAGGGTATTTATTTATTTATTTATTTATTTATTTATTTATTTCAGCTACTTATACCCCGCCCTTCTCACCCCCGAGGGGGGACTCAGGGCGGCTTACAAAAAGAAGGCACAATTCGATGCCCATGTACAAATACATACATATATAAAACAATTAAAATAATTAAACAATTAACACATTAAAACATCAATATATAACACAATAGTACAATAGTAAACAGTCTCATGGTCAGTCTTCCGAGTTCCATAGGTCCATTACGTTTCGTCACTATCTGCCCATCATTATGGTCTTTCTTATTTGCTGCCAGAGTGTCCAAAAGCCTGGTCCCACATCCAAGTTTTCAGCTTTTTCCTGAATGAGAGAAGGGAAGTCGCTGATCTGATCTCCCCGGGGAGTGAGTTCCACAGGTGGGGGGCCACTACCGAGAAGGCCCTGCTCCTCGTCCCCGCCAGCCTCACTTGCGATAGAGGCGGGGGCGAGAGCAGGGACTCCCCAGAAGATCTTAGACTCCGAGGTGGGACGTAGAGGGAGATCCGTTCGGACAGATACACTGGGCCGGAACCGTATAGGGTTTTGTAGGTCAAAACCAGCACCTTGAATTGTGCTCGGAATTGGATCGGCAGCCAATGGAGCTGGCATAACAGGGGGGTGGTATGCTCCCTGTATGCCGCTCCGGTGAGCAATCTGGCTGCCTCCCTCTGGACTAGTTGGAGTTTCCGAGCAGTCTTCAAAGGCAACCCCACGTAGAGTGCGTTGCAGTAACCCAGTCGGGATGTGACAAGAGCGTGGACCACTGTGGCCAGATCCGACTCAGGCCTTGCAAGATCAGGGTGCCCAT